GCAGGTCGAAGAATTTGAGCACAAGTCGTCAGGTACAACCAGGAAAAGGAGATCGAATACATTTGATTCTTTATCTTGTTCGATATCATTGTGCACATTATGGGACTAACGAAAATGATCAATTATTATCATATCTTTTTGCTCGATGTATTCCTATCTGACCTCAGTGGCAGGTCGAAGTGTTCGAAGAAAGAAACCCACCATGACTAAGGCCCTCGGGCTGGGTGGTCGCTTGTTTAGAACATCCCTTGGGGTGGGCAGGTTGGTCGTATACTCGCGCCTCCGGGCCGGGTGGCCTCCTGTTTAAAACATTCCTCGCGGGTGGGCAAGTGTGAAGACCAAAATCCACCATGACTAAGGCCCTCGGGCTGGGTGGTCGCTTGTTTAGAACATCCCTTGGGGTGGGCAGGTTGGTCATATACTCGCGCCTCCGGGCTGGGTGGCCTCCTGTTTAGAACATTCCTCCCGGGTAGGCAAGTGTGAAAACCAAAATCCATCATGACTAAGGCCCTCGGGCTGGGTGGTCGCTTGTTTAGAACATCCCTTGGGGTGGGCAGGTTGGTCGTATACTCGCGCCTCCGAGCTGGGTGGCCTCCTGTTTAGAACATTCCTCGCGGGTGGGCAAGTGTGAAGACCAATATCCATCATGACTAAGGCCCTCGTGCTGGGTGGTCGCTTGTTTAGAACATCCCTTGGGGTGGGCAGGTTGGTCGTATACTCGCGCCTCCAGGCCGGTTGGCCTCCTGTTTAGAACATTCCTCGCGGGTGGGCAAGTGTGAAGACCAAAATCCACCATGACTAAGGCCCTCAGGCTGGATAGTCGCTTGTTTAGAACATCCCTTGGGGTGGGCAGGTTGGTCGATTACTCGCGCCTCCGAACCGGGTGGCCTCCTGTTTGGAACATTCCTCGTGGGTGGGCAAGTGTGAAGACCAAAATCTACCATGACTAAGGACTTCGAGCTGGGTGGTCGCATGTAACGACCACTCCTTCGAGGGTGGGCTTGTGCTCGAAGACAAAAAATCCACCATGACTAAGGCCTCCGGGCTGGGTGGTCGATCCTAGTATTGGGTCGCAAAGACATGGATAGCTCGAGCAGACCTCAGAGGCAGGTTGATGATTTCTTCTTGGATATATTTGGTTTGTTATCATTGTACATTTGTTCCTAACCCAGTGGCAGGTTGAGGGAAGACAAAATCCACCATGACTAGGGCCTCCGAGCTGGGTGGTCGATCCTAGTGTTGGGTCGTGAAGACATGGATAGCTCGAGCAGACCTCGGAGGCAGGTCGATGATTTCTTCTTGGTTATATTTGGTTTGTTATCATTGTACATTTGTTCCTAACCCAGTGGCAGGTTGAGGGAAGACAAAATCCACCATGACTAGGGCCTCCGAGCTGGGTGGTCGATCCTAGTGTTGGGTCGTGAAGACATGGATAGCTCGAGCAGACCTCGGAGGCAGGTTGAGGATCTCTACTTGGCTCTATTTGATCTGGTATTATTGCATATTGTTTCTTAACCCAGTGGCAGGTTGAGGAAGACAAAATCCACCATAACTAAGTTCTCCAGGCTCGGTGGTCGATCCTAGTATTGGGTCGTGAAGACATGGATAGCTCGAGCAGACCTTAGGGGCAGGTCGATGAAGCTCGTTACGGATAGCTCGAGCAGGTTAACGGATTTATTTAATTTGGTTTTGTGGATTTTGTGCTTTTGACCTCAATGGCAGGTCGATCGAACTTATTACGGATAGCTCGAGTAGGTTAATAGTTTTTATTTGATTTGGTTTTGTG